AAAAAAAAAAAAGGTTTTTCTCTCCCTACCACACCAACATCTTGCTCTTACCTCTAAATCCATATATATGGCACTGATGGCCATCTTGATGCCTTGTCTATAGATGGTCTTCTGATCCTTTCTCAGCATCTGCTCAGTGGTCAGTCCTAGAAAGTGGATGTGAGACTAGCAGTTAAACAGGGGAGCCCAGAGTCCCACGACCAGGAAGGTGAGGACACCAAGATAACTCAAGAAAGAGGAAAAACATAGCTTCTCACTGGCACAGTGAAGTGGGAGACAACTGTAAATGTAATTATACAATCAAAACCTACTTTATTTATTTTTTTATTTTCTATTTTTTTGTTGAGACAGAGCCTCAAACTGTTGCCCTGGGTAGAGTGTTGTGGCATCACAGTTCACAGCCTCCAACTCCCGGGCTTAAGTGATTCTCCTGCCTCCACCTCCCAGGGAGCTGGGACTACAGGCGCCTGCCACAATGCCTGGCTACTTTTTGGTTGCAGCTGTCATTGTTGTTTGGCGGGTGTATGTGGCCGGTGCCTTAGCTGCTTGAGCCACAGGTGCCGAGCCTCAAAACCTACTTTAAACAAATGGTGACAGGTGATAATAGAGGGACTTTGAAGAGAAGGGCAAAAGCAAGAACAGAGGGTATTACTTTTGACTTTTTTCCCCTTCAGTATTATTTCAACATTTTTTTCCATTTTTTCTTATCTGTTGCCCATGGTAGAGTGCAGTGGTATTGCTCACTGTAGCCTCAAACTCCTGGGCTTGAGCAATCTTCCTGCCTCAGCCTCTCAAGTAGTTAGGACTAAAAGTATGTGCTACCATGCTTGGCTAATTTTTATTTTTTAGAGAGATGGGATCTTGCTATATTGCACAGGCTGACCTCAAACTCCTGGCCTCAAGTGATCCTCCTGTCTTAGCCTTCCAAAGTCTTAAGGTTACAAGCATGAGCCAATGTGGGTGGCCTGTTTAAATTTTCTTAAAGTACATGTGGTACCTTTCCTTTTCTTTCTTTTTCTTCTTCTTTTTTTTTTTTTCTTTGAGACAGAGTCTTACTTTGTTGCCCTGGGTAGAGTGCTATACTGTTACAGCTCACAGTGACCTCTCTTGCCTCAGCCTCCCAAGTAGCTGGGACTACAGGTGCCCGTCACAATACACGGCTATTTTTAGAGACAGCGTCTCCCTCTTGCTATGGTTGGTCTTGAACCCATGAGCTCAGGCAATCCATGCACCTATCTCCCAGAGTGCTAGGATTATGGGTGTGAGCCACCGTGCCCGGCCTGCGCTCCCAGCCTCTTTCTTCTTTTTTATGTCAATAGGTGGTAGCTGGGTAGGTGATGGAAGATTTTTTTGTCCTCTTCCTTTGTCTTTTGTATACTCACACTAAATGTCCCTTCATCTCCCTTCCAATTATACCACACTCTGATCATCTTGTATATCCTCAGCATATTTTACTTATATGCCCTATATTCTCTGACTAGACTAGAACCTCTGAGATGCTTAATATATTCCTCCTTAACCTACCCAAGGGCCAGAATAGAACAATCCATAATTGATTGACTAGTTCACAATTCAGACTCATGCTACTTCATTACTCTTTGGTGTAAAGCTTAAATCACTATGTATGCTCTAAAAGTAAGTCAATGTTATTTAAGAATACAATGAACAAGACTTGCCACCTGTTTTCTCATGTGGGAGGTACAGAAGTCAGCTTAGGGCCAGTCATGGTGACTCACACTTATAATCCTAGCACTCTGGGAGACTGAGGCAGGTGAATTGCCTGAGGAGTTTGAGACTAGCCTGAGCAAGATCAAAACTCTATCTCTAAAAATAGCTGGCAATGCGGCAGGCACATGGAGTCCCTGCTACTTGGGAGGTTGAGGCAAAAGAATGACTTGAGTCTAAGAGTTTGAGTTTCTGTGAGCCGTGACACCAACGCACTCTACCAAGGGTGGCAAAGTGAGACTCTATCTCAAAAAAAGAAAAAAAATAGTCAGCTTAATATATCATACCTGATATGTCAAACTTTGCCTTTTGTAGAGAATCAAAGATGTCATTTCTCTCAGGCAGATCTGGGAAGAGGGCCTCCAGTTTCTCCACATATTGGCTGTCCTTTAAGGTTGCTTTCCCAATTTTAAGATCCATATTGACACAGTCCAAAATGATGGTTCCTGCAGAGAAGGGAGATGACAAAACTCTAATCCTATGAGCCTCCATGCATAACCTCTACATGACCTTCAAACCAAGTGGACACAACACAGAAGATGTGTATGGCAAACTAACTAAAAGCAAAATGAGAAACTGGGATTGACTATGATCTGAATAAGACCTCCCAAATCCAAACTAAAATGTAGGCAAGGAAATGGGGAAAAGGCAGAAAGAAAGAAATCCTAGACATCTCAATACACAGAGAGTTTGTAACTTAGAGAGATAATATCTCTTCAGTAGGCCAAATTCCGTTAGAGAATGTTATACATAGTAAGTTGAGTTGTCTAACTAGAAAAGACATTCTAGTTGTCTAACTAGAAAAGACATTCTAGTTCAACTTTCTCTCTCTCTCTCTCTTTTTTTTTACAAAAAGAAAAAATGAGAACAAGAAAGGTTAAGAGATTTGCTAAAAGTCATATAACTATTTCTAGAGGAACTGGTATTAAATCTATTTCCTGCTTCTCTGCCTCATCCTCCTTCAATTATATAATGATACTTCTAAGAAGCTTCTAGGTCTGTTGCCCTGTGCTTCCCTTTTGTTTTCTCCAACAAATTATCCCATATGCCTTTATTTTATTTTTATTATTAATTTTTTTTTGAGACAGAGCCTCAAGCTGTCACCCTGGGTAGAGTGCTGTGGCGTCACAGTTCATAGCAACCTCCAACTCCTGGGCTCAAGTGAGTCTCCTGCCTCCACCTCCCAAGTAGCTGGGATTACAGGCACTTGCCACAACACCCAGCTATTTTTTGGTTGCAGTCATTGTTGTTTGGCGGGCCCAGGCTGGATTCGAACCCACCACCTTAGGTGTATGTGGCTGGCACCTCAGATGTATGAGCCACAGGTGCCAAGCCCCATACACCTTTAAACAAAAGTCTAATTGTCCCCCACAAATAATCCCACTCTTTGGTATGAGCTCAATGTCTTTGAGAGCATATGATTAGGCTGGAGGAGTCTAGACTTTTCCACTTTCCCTTCTCAGAGATGGAAAGAGAAGCATCAGGTCTCAATCTCAAAACTGCCCTCACCGTGCAGAAGAGCTGCGGTTTGCCTGTCCAAGATCTCTGGCGCCCCCTGCAGGATTCTCTCAGTCACTAGGGTAGCGCAGGACCCCACCAACTCCACTGAAACATGGCAGGAAGGGCAGCGCTTCTGCTCTATTGGTCGATGGTCTAGCACCTCTGCCACTACCTCCTCCAGGGCAGCATCACTTCTGTGGAGGGGGAGGAGATGGGGTAAAGAGAAAGAAAGGTAGGTAGGAGTACTCCAACTGCTTCTAACCTCTCCCCAAATCTCTATCACACCCATAAAGGAAATGCAAACACTCAGACCTTTGGTCACTTCTACCACTGCCTCCTCTCAATTCTTTCATGTTATAACTGAAGTCATCTTTAAATAGCATTTAAGTTAATTTTGTAGAGTATCTATTGCAAATATAGTAGAACCTCCATAGTTGACCACATCCCACATTGACTACTTCCTTAAGCTGACACAATTTGCAAAAACTGGACATACACCACATACACTCAATGGAAGTGCCTTATGTTGACCACCTCCAAATGTTGACCAGATTGTTACAGAGGTTCTACTATATCTTATTTACACATCTGTTGTCTTATAGGGCTGCTTTTCCTTGATAACCAATAACTAAATATTTCCTGTTTCTTCAATCTACTCAATATTACAATTCCAGGCAGGTCACCGTGGCTTCCAGCTCAACTCCTATCCGTGCCCTTGCTTTCAGCTTTCTCTCTCTTTTTTTTAAGAGTATGTCAAGAGTCTCACTATGTCACCCTCAGTAGTGTGCCGTGGCATCATAGCTCAAACTCTTGAGCTTAAGCGATTCTCTTGCCTCAGCCTCCCAAGTAGCTGGGACTACAGGCCCCCACCACAACGCCTGGCTATTTTTTTGTTGCAGTTGTCTAGCAGGTCCAGGCCAGGTTTGAACACTGTGCCCTAACCACTGAGCATGGGCACTGAGCTGCTTTCAACTTTCTGTTACTGCCTTGTTGTAGGCCCTCAATGTCTCTCATCCGAACTGTTCCAGTAGTCTCAACCAATCACCTGCTTCCAATCAAGAGCCCTCTGAAGCTATACTTCACAAAGCTGCCTGAATCATCACTTGAAAAAAGCAAATTTGATTCTGTTAGGACGTGGAATAAATAGAATTACAATAGTTCCCTATTGCCTAAAAAAAAGTCTGATCTCATTAGAAAGGCCTACCAGGCCTCTAGGATCTATCCCCTGCCTGCCTCTTTAGGCTTGTCTTTTTCTTTTTTTTT